GGGGGGGGGGGGGGGGGGGGGGGGGGGGGGGGCGCACTATGTAAACCTACCAGTATTAACAGACATTGCACCACCTTGTCTATACTTACAGTGTATTCCACAGTACCAAGGGGCTTCTGAACCACCATCTTCTTCTCCTTTTTATCATGTGTTTTGTTTTGATTGTCATCTGGAGAAGAAATTGTATGTAGATAAATCATTTCATTTTCAGGAATTGAAGAGAGGGTAAGTCTACAGTATATGAAAACTTACTTTCAAATTGACTTAAAAATAAAGACCCTAATATAAAAAATGGACTAAGGGTACAAATAGACCATACTCATAGAAGCATACTATTCATCAATGAACACATGAACAATTAATGTTAACTGTAATTAAATAATACAAGTAAAAACTATGAGGCAATGTTTTACAGTTAATAGTTTAAATGATAATTTGTAATGAAGATGAAGAGTAAAATCAGCATTGTTGTGATATAAATGATATATAATGTGAATCAGTGCAGCCCTTTTAGAGAATGATTTAGTAATATGTAAAAATAGACATAAAAATGTTCATTCTCTGGCTCAGTAATAATTCTCCGAGGAATTTATCCTAAGGACAAATTCAAAAGAAGAAAAATACTGTCACAACATATGGTTATTGCACTAATATTTATAATAATAAACACTTGGAAAGACCTGTATGTACAAAAACATATTAAGTTGGACCACAGATTTGCTACTTTAGAGGTCAAAAATGGTCAACCATTGGCAGCTATAAGATGATTCAACATAATTGTTATGGTTAATAGATCCTGATATGTTAATTCAGAAATCAAAAACCACAGCGATATATTGCAGTGGATAAAAATTGAAGAGACAAAAAGAATATAAAATTGAATTAACCATGAAAACTGGAGCAACTTGTATGTGTTCTGAAAAATACAAGTCAAAATCACATATCATTTGGCTCCTATTAGATTGGTGAAATCAGAATAACAAAAATTTTAATATTATAATGTTAATAATTCTAATTATTCTAATGTTAATTCTAATGTTAGGATAATTCTAATGTTGTTAGAAATATGAACTGCTACTAGGAATGTAAATGGTTCAGTCATTCCAGCAAATTAAGTACATGCAGCTCATATACCCAGCAATTTAACTCACAGATATACATCCTCTCCCAGGAGGTACACTTTATCTATAATGTAAGTGACCTACTCAATATGATCATCACAGTGTCATCTCAGGCAGTGGGAACTGGAGGGTAAGAAGGATGTGGTAGATACGCACTGGGATTCCAGGCAGGAATTAGAAGTAGTATAGCCAGAAGTATACACAACAAAAGTTTACATCAAGAGAAAGAGAATGGAAGGTACAGAACAATATCATTTATGTACATTTAAACAGATGGACACACAACAACCACAAACATTTTTCAAGGGCCCAGAAAAATAAAAGCCTATACACACTGAACCCAAGAGAATGATGTGGAGTGGGTAGAGAAATAGAAGTGGAGAATGAGAATAAAAGGGAATTAATGAATAAAAACAAGGAGCCCAGCTCTAACCAGTTATGACATGCCATGATCTGAGAAGTGTGATTATCTCAGCCCTCTACATCTGAGGTCCTACAAACACACACACATACACAGAAATGTATCAACAATATCATTTCATCTACATAACAAATATGGTGATACTGGATGAGAACTGGATGGTAACACAGAAACATGAAAATAGTTAATTCACATGGATTTATCTGACTTTTAAATATTTCCTTTTAAAACTAAAAACCAAGAGGGAAAAATATATTTAAATAGCTCCTGTTAAGAGCCCTCTTCTAGTCATTGGTATGTTCAAATTGGATCCATTTATAAAACCAGAGACCTTGACGTGTTTGATTGTGGGTGACACCCCTGTCAAAGCCACAAATTGAACACTATGTTTTACAGTTAGCTCAATATAAAAAGCTGAGAAGTAATTGGCAAATTTGAAGGACCTAATTCAATTACCTTCATATCATTATAGCACAAGGTAAGGTTTCATATTGCTTCACAAGTATTTTTTCTGCAGGAGTTGGTAAAGATGGCCAACTATGTGTCTCAATGAGTGATGCTCTGTGTCTTACCCAGACGGGTTCTGCAGCACACAGTCCACATAGCACTGGGGACAGCTAGGAAGAGACATGACCTGCCATGGGCAAGGACAGCTCTGAGGCACTTCAGGATGGGGCTCGAACTCCAGTGTTTTAGGAGAGGACCCCTGACCATCCCCAAGGGTGCAACTGTCTCCCAGTGACACAACACCTCCACTTCCAGCTTTAGACCTCCTCACAGCCCTTTATACTTACCCAAATTCTGACCCTCCCCCCAGCTTACAGGAACCTGAGGAAAATGCTATAAAAGTATCTACTGCCAGAGGGGAAAGGTGGCCAGGTGTTCCTTCAGAAGCCATTTAGAGCAAAGCAACTGAACCTCCTACCTGCCCCACTGCTGCAATCAAGTCTTCAGAGCTGGTTTTTCCCAGTTGAGTAAGGAAGTACCTGTAGTAAAATTGACAAAAATCCTAGAGGAATGAAACTTAGGCCCTTCGGCCTAACCTATCTTATTCTGCATTAAGTCCTGGAGTTGAGAGCTGAAATGGGCAGCAGGAACAGGGTACCTGTGTCGACCTCAACCCAGGTGGATCTTGGTGCCCTGTCCACAAGTCCTGCCACTTTCCTTCCCACCTCATAAGAGGGCCAGGAGGGTATAAAACACAAGGCTTTTGGCTCCTGCATTAGAGATGATCCCAGATACAAGTTTACCGAAAGATGACTCCTCTTTCTCCACACACTAGGGCAAAAGAAGGTGATATCTACCAGTATGTCTGGGGCCTGGGGGGACATGAAGTCCAGATGTGACAGAATCCTTTGTAGTAGTTATCTGTGAAGTCTCGGGTGAGGTTATGACTGCCATGAGAAAACATTTAAAGAAGAGGTCTGAGATTTGAGGACAGAACCTAAAGAAGGCTTAGACTGAGGGAATGAAAACAAGTGTGGTTGATATAAGGGGGGAAAATCAACTAGAGGAATGGGAAAATGAATGTAATGTCACAGAGGTCATGGAAAAAAGGTAAAGGGAGGTGGTGTTGACACTGTCAAATGCTTCCAAGAGATGGAAACCTGGAAATGGATAACTGGGTCACAGAGTTCCTGCAAGTATAGGAAGCTCAAGACACATGGTGTTAACCCTATCAGTAGAGCAGGGGTAAGGTCATCTGCTAAAATGTAAGGGGGTGAAGAAAGGATTGGGAAAATAAGGGGCAGTGAAAATTGGAAGAGTTACTATGGCAAAGATATGGTTTCAATAATATGAGCATTAAGGGCCGGCCCGGTGGCGCACTGGAGAGTGCGTCGCTTGGGAGTGTGGCGGTGCTCCCGCCAAGGGTTCGGATCCCATGTGGAGACCGGTTCCCGCTCACTGGCTGAGAGCGGTGTGGGTGCAACACCGAGGGTTGCGATCCCGTTGCCGGTCCCCGGTACGAGTGCGACACCGAGGGTTGTGATCCCGTTACCGGTCAGTAAAAAAGACAAAAAGGAAAAAAAAAAATAATATGAGCATTAAGAAGCAACACAACAGTACGGGATCACCCAGGGGTGGGGTCTCGACACCAGGCTGACAGGCCACATAAGAGTAAGCAAATACACTGCTGAAATGGCCACCTGTGGGGCTTATAACACACAGAGCAGGGTGGCCGAAGCTAGACAAGTGGTGGGTGAAGGGCAGTAAGATGTTGGAGGAGTTAGGACAATGGCAGGATGAATTAGTTTCCTGTTGCTGCTGTAACAAATTACAACAAGTTTAGTGGCTCAAAATTAAAAATAAACACAGGTTCATTATCTTACAGTTCCTTAGGTTAGAAGTCTGACATGGCGGCTGGCTGATTAGCTCAGGTGGTTAGAGTGCTGTGTTATAACACCAGGGTCAAGTGTTCGGATCCCAGTATTGTCCAGCCACCAAAAACAACAATTACAAAAGTCTGACATGGGTCTCATTGCTTTCCTTCTGGAAGGTCTAGGGGAGGATTAGTGTCCTTGCCTTTTCTAAGTCCTAAGAAATGCGCTAGTTTCCTTAGTTCAAGGTTTCTTTCTCCCCCTGCAAACCCAGCAACGCTGGCCAAGTTCTTCTCCCACTGATGTTTTTCTAGTTTTCTCTCTTCTACCTTCCTCTTTCACTTTTAAGGACCCTTGCTATTAGACTGGGCCCACCTTGACAATCCAGACAGATCTCCTTAATGTCAGCTGGTTAGCAAACTTAATTCCATCTACAGCTTTAATTTACCTTGCCATGTAACCAAACAGGTTTGGGGAAAGAGGACATGGACATCTTTGGTGCTGGTGGTGGGAGGATACTATTCTGCCTACCACAGATGGAGAACAGATTTATAAGAAAAGACAACAAAAAGAGGTTGAGATCCAAAGGGGATTTTTGAGAATTCAGGTAGTGCTGTCAGATGTGGCCAGTGAGTATGCCAGTAGGGAAGATAGTGGGCTGTTAAGGAATGCAGCGCTAGTTAAATATTCTGGTTCTGGAAAAACGATAACAACAACATAAAAAACGCCAGCAGAAATGAACCAATACCAATGTCCTTCAAACCTGAGCATCTGGCTCCTGTCACACACCAGTGGGGACCAGGTGAATTTAGAACTGTGGACAGTAATAATGACTGTACTTGAATAATGATTGTATAATATCGTACTTGAAAACAGGAACAAAAGAGACACCTGTGAATTCCCTGGATCCTGATTCCATAATTTCTATATAGATACAGAAGGACAGAAAAGATAGGACGAAGCCTTTTTTTCCATTACTATCAATTATCTGAACAAGCACAAACAGAACTTTAAAAAATTATCAGGTTTTCAAATTATATAAGGACCAACTCTGCTCTGGTCTTTCACTTACTGAGCATGTGTGTCCCTTCATCTCTGGCTCCCCTTGAACAATCTATTCTCTCCCCTTCATCTATCTCTGCCATAAGAATGGGGTTCATGAGTCTGACAGCACAGTACCCTCAACATCTCATCTAAAGAGGGAGGACGGTTTCCATGGTATCCAAATGAGGGGGTCCAGAAAGGCAAAAGTTTTCTGTGTCTCTCCAGATCTTTCTAAGAAAGGGATACACTGATTTATGAATTGGAG